CATTCTAGATTAGCCCATTTTAGATAAGGTTATTTTTGTCATTGTGTATTCTCTCCCCCCTCCCCCTCATTCTTATGGCGTGAGCTTCCCCTCCAGCTCGTGTATAAATAGGTAGTTGCTGCTATCAATTTGTAATTGAATTGATTACTCAATTGAATCTTCTTCCCGCCTTTTATTTCACCTCTTTCAATTATCTGCAAATTATCAATTCTTCAAAACTCGGATACACAATTGAGCAAAGAGGTACATTTACCTTTATATTAAAACCTGCTTTAGCACTTGTTTCTATAAACATGATGCCAGATTCACGAGCCTTCCCGCCTCCTTCCTCAATTGAAACTTGCCTGTTTATGCTGAACAACATAACCTTAGATCAATTCTGGAAAACGAATTAGTAAAGAATTTCTTGACTAAACTAATTCAGTTGAACGAAAAGGAAAAGAAACTGCCAATGGCTCTTTTTCCTCTCACCTTTTATCAACAAGATCAGTTTTACTTTTATTCCCTACAAGAACAACAATGACATCACTCCCTCATTCTGTACGTAGTTCCTCAATCCACTTTGAAGCATTCAAAAATGACTGTCGATCTGCGAAGGCAGTAATTTATCAAAACTTTGTGACCCACTAAAAACTTTGTGCAAAGTTCAGTGTTCAATCAGATTACTAACCCTTAATTTTAACAGTACATTTCATGAAACTCACTATTTTTCAATTATACATTTCATCAACTTTTGTTATAATCTATAAAAAATTTGATTTTTATCAAAATCAAATAGGAACTTAGTAGATAGTATCAAACAGTATAATATATAAATCTTTTTTTTTTAATTCCTTTTCAATATTGTTCAACATGTTAAAAGTAAGATTTCACGTTAAGAATGCAAATATTAATCAACATTTAAGAGTTTGGACTACTCGTTTTATTACGGTTCACCTTTTAATATGACGCCTCAAGTATTTAAAAGCATATTCTCCAAAAATTCACTATTACAAAACTCATTTTGGACAAAAAAAAAAAAAGAGCTCAAATTGTTCAAAAAAATTGGCCACTAGGAACATGTCAACAGCTCAGGGCAACCTTCTGGAAAAGGAAAGACCAATTTGAGTTGGACGGAGTAATTCTATTTGCAGTCGCTCACTATGGTAGTCGCCCTACGTGTCATACACATGGCAGGTGGTTATTTGATGCATTAGCATTACTCTTGGACAAATCATATGCTCGCTAGCTAGCTATCCACGGTGTGATTTGGGAATAAAGCAACGCGGTTTCTCGTCAAAGGAACACACCGGGTTATTTAAAAGATAAAATATAAATATAAAAAGTTTGTCGTTTAATTTTTTAAATTATCTAAATTAACAAGGCATATTTTTAAATTAAGTTTTTAGTCAATTTAAAATTTAAAATTTTGTATATTGACCTTTTTATGAAAACAAGGATTTTGATTACAAGAATTTGTAGTAAACGCACTACGTTTCGAATCATCACTTTGAACTAAGTGTTTCTTGCTTTTCATAGATTAACTTTTCCCAAATTCTGATTCGTATTTATCGTTTTCATTTTTTGATACAAAAACTTGGTGAAAATGAGGTTTGAGTTCATGGATGTCGGCTAAAGGATTCGTGTTTTTTGCAGATTGGAACACCTTGGTTCTATGGAACAGAAGGGGTGACATAGTGTCCGATTCTACCTATAGACACCTTTGTGTACAAATTTATTGTCGATAGAGTACGTTCTTCTTTAATTAAACCTTTGTGACTACTTTTGAGTCGTCCCACACAACTCGTGAGAAGACATCCTTGTGTCAGTTTTAAGGCGGAATCAAATGAAATTTCAGTTGTTGGTTTAGTAGTTCACTATGTTTTTTCCCTGTTCTGCAGCCAGGGACATATTTATACCATGCACACTATGGTATACAAAGAGAAGCGAGGCTGTACGGATCAATTTGTGTATCGCTTCCCGATGGAGAATCCGAGCCCTTTTCGTATGATTATGATAGAAGTAAAATCCTTACTGATTGGTATCACACCAGCACATATGAACAAGCTACTGGCCTCTCTTCAATACCCTTTGTGTGGGTTGGAGAACCTCAAGTAAGTTTATCCCAACCTAATCCCGTCTATGATGACTTTAATTGCATCCCACATCGTTAAGACTTAAAGCACACTTTTGGTTGTACTAAAAATAACTTCTATGTTACTTTTTAAGCACAAGAAAACATGCTCATTGGCAAATCCAGGAGTTTATTTGAGCTAGGGCGGATGCTTGACGCCACCGAGCTGCCGCCCAATGTGAGGGAAAAGAAATTTTAGCGGAGGCTCGCCGAGTGTTGGCTCCACCTCATAGCTCATGACACTATCCCCTAGGAAGCCGATTTTAAGTAGTAGTTATATTACATATGAAATCGAACGAGATTGTATGCATGTGACCAATGGATTTCTCTTAATTTTTCAGTCTATTCTGATACAAGGCAAGGGAAGGTTCGATTGCAGTACACCAGGCATTCAAGCAGGTCTTTGNNGCATTCAAGCAGGTCTTTGCAATGCCACAAATCCTGAATGTACACCTTATGCACTGACAGTGATTCCTCGAAAAACGTATCGACTCCGAATCGGAAGCCTAATGGCCCTATCAGCATTGAGCTTTGAAATAGAAGGTCATAACATAACAGTTGTTGAAGCTGATGGTCACTATGTTGAACCATTTGTTGTAAAAAACTTGTTCATCTACTCCGGTGAGACGTATTCCGTCCTAGTTACGGCCGATCAAGATCCTTCGAGAAACTACTGGGCAAGTGCAAAAATTGTAAGCAGGAACAGCAATACTACGAATGGTTTAGCCATCTTCAATTATTATCCAAACCACCCACGACGAAACCCTCCAACGATCCCTCCTCCCGGCCCACATTGGAATGAGATCAAACCACGTGTGGGTCAAAGCATTGCAATAAAATCACACAAAGGTTACATCCATCCTCCTCTCCAGACATCCGACTGAGTGATAATCATGCTCAATACACAAAATCGTACCAACGACAATGTCCGTTGGTCAATCAACAATGTCTCGTACAACTTCCCACACACGCCATATCTCATCCCGCTTAAGCACAGCTTAACACGTGCCTTCAACCCTTCTCCTCCTCCGGAAGAGTACGACTTTGCGAATATTGTAAAAATTGTAAGCTGGAACAGCAATACTACTGATAGTTTATCCATCTTCAATTATTATCAATTTTTCCTACCTGATATTTTTGTATTTTTTAATCCGTTCTTTTTAGTGTAAACGACTAATTCCTTTCCCATTTAGAGTCAATTTGTACTTTGAAAAATTAAATAAGCAAGCTTTAAATTTTTTTCTATTAAATTATTGATCTTGTCCATACCAAGCAGAGTCTTCAAGTTTTAAATTGAACTTTGACTTGAAATCTCTGGTTTTTTATTTTGTTTGTTCTGAAATGGAGGTTAATTCAAGTAAAGAGGTGAGATTTTTCGTTTTCTTAACATGGATTTCTTGTTATTGTGTATTTTTTGCTATAAAATTGCTTTTTTTTTTTAAACTTCATTGTGTGATTTAATTTTGTGGTTTCTACATTTACTTTCTTGCAATGTAGAATTCTTTCTTGTATAAGGCTGGCTGACTAAGACCGACCGGTCGAACAGAGACGAAAGTCGACCATAGTGATCTTTATTTTTTGGTGATTCTGTAGTTTTTCCTTGAGTTTCTCTAGTTTATTTATAGGTGGAACGGAGTCAGAGTCCCATTGCTTTTAACTATTTAAACACAATGCACACTGGGTGTGGGGTTCGGGAGAGGAAAAATACTTGATCAAAGTGCACACTGGCTGTGTTTGTGCTTTTTTTTGGGGGGCTGTAGGGAGGGAAGGCCAAGGGGGAAAGGAAAATTTATGGTAATGGGAACAAAAATAAAAGTACGAGATAAGCAAAATGATACACCAACACCCCTATACTAACCCCAACTGCTCCCACTTTCGTTCTTAATTTTACACTTTGAATGTGAGAAACGCAAGATTCAACCCTACTACACCTAGATGGGGGTGATTAGGTATAAATGCTGAATTAATACTAAATTGACATGCAGCAAGTTACAAGTTAATTATGTCTAGGTGATTAGTCACAATTCAATTTAACCTAAGTTGAAATACCGCAGTATTGCCAAAACAATAAATAAAGCAATGAACAACACCAAAATTGTTCACGGAGAAACC